GTGGGTTTGAAGAAGGGAGGCTGGGAGGGGAAGGAGAAAGTATGGGGGGGGGTGTTAATGGAAAAGTACAGTAAAGCACCTTCTGAGGTGAGAATAAGTAGTGAAGGTCTATTAGCAGTCAGTGACAATTTACATGTACTACTTATGTAAAGATAAGCTCACAGCAGGTAGAGGAGCTGCTCCCATGTGAGCTGTCAAAGGCTCCTGTTGCCTCCTGAGTGGGAAGGAGCAGGGGAGTTGCTCAGGATGAGTGTTTTCAATCCACAGAGGAGCAGAGAGTCTGGAGAATGGCAAAGTGCTTCAGGTGGAACAGAGGAGACTGGCATGGGCTGGAAACACCCGAATTGGGAAGTACTGGGGAAAAGCCAGCGAGCAGCTGCAGGGGTGATGGGGTTTTATGCTGGGTCTGGAGTCTTGGCGGTGTGCAAGAGCTGTGCTGAGAGCCTGCAGGGGATATCCCTGGATTAGGAGCCCAGCCGTGGCCTCACATGATTCCCATCTGTGATGTTGGAAAGGATGGCTATAGGCAAACATCAGCTTCTGCCTCCTGGTCATCAAAGTGTTTTCTGAGAAGGGACCCTTCTCAGTTATGTTCTCGTTTCATTAAGTTTATAACAGAAAATGAGAGTCACTCTGAGGGATTTGGCCTGCTAAAGGGGGTAGGAAGGAGGGGGTGACTCTGGATCAGGCCCTGCATCAACTTGCTCCATCCTGGGGGAACCTACTGTGGACTCCTCTGTGCAATATGTGCCTGAGCTGGAGGTGGCTTGTAGGCAGGCTGCCTGGTTCTTGATGGACAAATAAATCCTGAACTGACAGGAGATGCTGGTGAATGCATTGCCCAAAGGCTGCAAATCCAGGAATGGGATTTGCTGAGGGAGAAGACAGCTTATCTGAGTGGGAGGCAGAGTCTTACAGCTCTGTTGGTGACTGAGATGTTACCTGCTTGCCTGGCCAGTAGTGATGCTCAGTAGCTGCTGGCTCTTTTGCCACTTCAGCATCCCTCTGGGTAAGATCTTTCTCTCTTTGGTGCCAGAGATCAGAACCTCTCTGGCTGGCATGAGCCTTGCAGACACTCAAGAGCTCAGCTTTGCGGAGCGTTTGGAGAGGCTGAAGAGGATGCAGTGCCATTGCTTGAGCAGGCTTTATCCGTACTTTGGACCCCACAGCATGGTTGAACCCAGCATTGTCTGGCTTGTGTGAATTCTGGTTCATGTCATAGACCTGCTTTGCCACCCCTTTCCAGGAAGAAGCTACAGGACAAATGAGAAGCAGTAAACCTTGCCGCATGCCCCAGCAGCACAGTGAGTATGCCAGCCAGTGTCCCAGGTGGAAGTCAGCTTGTTTGACCATGTTTACCTGTAGGGAGTGGGAAGATGGAGAGTGGAAAAACCCGAGATACAAGGCCAAAGGGAGAGATGTTTCAGAATAGGGGTTAAGGAAGAGGAAGAAGACGCAGGCTTTGGGGGCCAAAGGGACTTTTCTTCCCTCCCATGCCAAAGCCACGATCAAAGGGAAGGTTCATGGAGAAGGGAGCAGGGTCTGTGTTACTGTCACTTTAGGGCTACGGTTTCTCAAGAGGGGTTCAGGGAGAGGAAGCAAGGACAAACTGATCAATAACTTCCCTTTTTTTTCCCCCTAGATGAGTGCATCTGTTGTGTTGCTGAAATCCTTTGCAGAATCTGTCTCTAGTTTCAAGCATTCAATGTGTCCGGTAACACAGGAACCACTGCCTACAGGGCAAAGCCTCTTGCAGCCGTAGCTGGTGCCTTGGGAGAGTGGGTCTGGATGACTCGGTGGTGGAGTTTGAGAAGCGGGTGCTGCATACGGGATTTGCCCTTCCAAGGTGCTGTGGAAGATGCTGGGGATGAGTGATGAGGGAGCACGATGTGGTGTAAGACAGCAGCTCAGCCTGGGCAGTGTCCAGGAGAGGGAGCTGGATCTGGGATGGAGCAGCACATCCAGGAAACACTGCATTCGTGTGAGCAATAAACGGCGCTCTCCAGACGTGGGCCCTCATGGTTGGGAGGGTAATGGATGGAAACGTAGGTGGAATGGTCACGATTTGGTTAGGGTTAGATGGGTTCTCCATAAATTAGGGCCACTGCTGATGGGATTTAGTTGTGAAATGGCAGTGTGCAAGATAGCAGCAGTGCAGCATCCTGTGAGAAATGGCTGTTTTGGGAGAAAGCCACCTTGGAGCCCAAACTGGGCAGTCTTTAGCTGTGCAATTCATGCCAACCTATAATGCAGTCTTTGCTGCCTTCAGGCTTAAAAAGGCTGTACAGTATTTGTGTTCTGCAATAGCTATAGTTTGTTTTTCCTAATTTACCCTTTCCTTGTTTATCCTGCATCTGTGCAGGGGTCTAATTTGGAGCTTTTTAAGGCAAAAAAAACCTGCTTAGCAGTTATGGGTTGGGGCAGCAATTTCTGTGGCATTTAGAGGTGAATTTGATTAGCACTTTTGGAAAGCTATGCAGCAAATTGCAGCGCTAATCAAGGGAAATCAAGGCATGGAGTTTTAAGGCAGAATTGGTGTTCATGTTTTTTAAACCAGAAATGAAGATATTAAGTTGTCTGAGGCTCAGAAGCATTATATTTCTGCTGGTTTCATGTGTCGTGCTTTCTGATTACGCAGTTGTGCCAGACTGACGGTTGGTAGAGGAATGAGTGCTCTAAAATATAAACCACTTGTTTTATGTTAATTTAGTGTTTTTAATGTAAATTTTAGAGGTTTATGTTAATTTTAAATCTGAAATTGATTCTTTAGGGTGTGATCAGTTTTTCTCTTGTCCCTCTCCCTGTCCATAATGGAGTAAATTTTTCTGTGTCTTTTATTAAAGTCCTTCACTGGGTATAAAAGACAGATGGGAAGAGACACAACCAGTTAAACCCCCAACTTCATTAAGTTAGTGCTGTGATTCAGGATCTGTTGAAATCAGTGGGAACCTTCCCAGCGACCTCCAGTACACGTTGGATTGTGAGCTTCAGTGTTTTTTCACTGAGGACAAAATACATGGTGTATGCAGAGAGATGGAGTAAGGCTTAAGTGGATTAACTGAAGTCCACTGGGGACCTCTGTGTGTGTCTGGGGGGAATGGGACATTTATTTGTATTCCCTGGGGCTGCAGGCTTTTGGTTGCTAGTCAGACTTCAAAGAACCAGGAATCCGGGCTTGAACTCGGGGTCTAGTTTCACACAGACTCTCCACCAGCGTTCCCAGTGAGAGACACCAACCAGATGAACACCAGGATTCTTGTTTGCAGAATGACAGTATTCAGATAAGGAAGGAAACAGATTTGATCATTAACTAAAGAGGATTGATGGGGGGAACAAGTCGGCCTTTTGCAAGACCTCTGGTATTGCTGCGTGTGACGTGGCTGGTGTTTGGATAGTGTTTGAAAGATGGGTACGTTGGATGCTGGGAGCAAAATGCATGGAACCTAATCAGGAAATGTTGGCCTTCGTCATTTTTGTCTGAGACAGGGAGATTACTGCCGTTATGAACTGCAAATTGGTAACTGGAGGAGATTCCTAAAATATGAGCTAATCCCTAGAATCTGACCAACTTTCTCTGTAGAACATCAAATTCTAGGCCTATAATCTGTAATTAAATTGCTTATGTGATGTTAAAAAAAGCATCTGGCTGTTCTAAGATTGTCCACTGCAAGAGCCTAGACACTATAAATGAGAGAGCTGTAGGAACGTGGAGAAAGCAGCAATTTAGAGGACAGGAAAATATTAAGACTTTATATTTCCAACCTACCAGGATGTGAGAGGGTCCAGAAGGTCAACCCATAGCATAACTACTGTCTCTTGCAATGATGGAAAACCATTAACTGTTACACTGCCAAAAGAATTAAGGTGTCCTTTGAACATCTCTTTAATGGTGTGTCTGGGTTTAAGCTGTCTCATTAGTAATATAGAATAATACAATGGTTTGGGTTGGAAAGGGCCTTAAGATTATTTAGTTCCAACCTCTTGCCACAGGGAGGGACACCTTCCACTAGAGCAGCTTGCTCCAAGCCCCTGTGTCCAACCTGGCCTTGAACACTGCCAGGGATGGGGCAGCTTCTCTGGGCACCCTGTGCCAGCACCTCACCACTCCCTCAGTAAAGAGCTTCTCCCTTATATGTAAGCTAAATATCCCCTGTTTAAGTTTGAACCCATTTCTCCTATCACCAGTACTTGATAGATGCACAGTGTTATGTAAAGATGGCGATGTGCTCTAAATCAAAGCATAACCTTGCAGACACAACCTGCTGTCGGGCTGCGTGGGTCAGTTTAGGAGCAGCAGGCACTGTAAATCCCCATCAACACAAATTCATCTATTTACATGGCAAGATACTTTGTGGAACTGGAGTAGGAAGGGTTGGGAAGTACAGCGGTATCTTTGCTGCTGCAGAGCTCAGGAGCTGTGTGTGCTCTTCTGGCTGCCTCACCTCAGTGCCTAAACTGGGGGTTCTCAGTGTCCCCATTCCGTATGCTTTTGTGGAAAGCAAAATCAATCTGCAAGCCTTGGAAATTAATGCTTTCACTTGTACTCCACAGTGCAGTTAGGCTGTTTTCCTCATCTGCATTAGGAGATGAATGGTGTATGTGACTAACCTAGGGTCATGCAGGGTCTAACAGAGCCAGGCTCAGCTCCTGGTCCTACACTGGGTCAGGTCTCTCGGTTCCAGGGAGCTTTTCCCAGCAGTGCATTGTTGAGTTTGCCTGAAGCAAGTGGCATGTTCCTTACAGCTGCGGAGGAGAAAATGACCTCAAAACATACTCTGTGCCATTTCCTGGTGGGAAGGCAGAGACAGTATTTATAGAATTCCTCTGCCTTCTGCATCGTGGTTAATAGAAATGAGTGTGTTGCATTTTAACACAGATGAGGCCATGTGAATAAATGCCTTCCTGAGGCATGAATGTACTTCTGTAACTCTGGACTCATATGTGTACTTCACCCTGGGTGATTTCTAACACTGTTTTCCCCCTTCCTTATTTTCCTCTAGTTGTAGCCTTCTTGGTGGCCTATCATCAAAACAAGCAGCTAATAGGAGAGAAGGGGATGCTCCCATGTAAGCTCTACCTGCAGAATGTCAAGAAGTATTTCAAGGGGAAGATAGACCTGGATGCACTGAACTATGCACCAACAGTCATCTGGTTTCTGGATTGGTCAGACATGGACAGCACCTTGGACTATCTCTCCCTGTTCGGCCTGGCAACTTCAGCCTTTGTATTGATAACTGGATGTGCAAACATGGTCCTCATGTCTATCCTGTGGGTTCTCTACCTCTCCTTGGTCAATGTTGGACAAATCTGGTAAGCTGACAATCTCTCTGTGTTGTTTTTCTCAGTGATCTCTTTCTGTTCATTGTACACATTGCCTTGCTATTGCCATTTGAGGTTGGTAATCTTTTAAGGAGAAATGTGGGAATGTGAGATAAGGAAAGCATGTGGCAGAAATGAGTTGTAGGCATGCCTCTGCTCTCTCATGCAGGATACAGGCCCTGATTCTGTTCTCCTCTGAGAAGCAGATTGGCTGCATAATGTGTTACATGTTGTCCCTGCTGGGGAGTACTTTTCCCTCATGGCTGTTGCAAGGGAATTCTCCTAATAATTCCTTTTGAGATGGCTTGTCAATTCTCAGTTCTGTCCAGAAGAGAGGTGGAACACTCAAGATAAGTACATAAGCCTGCAGGGAAAAAGTAAAGGAGAAATAGTGACTGTCTGCATAGCACCTTGCTGCAGGGAAGGGCAGTGGTGCAAAAGAAAAGGCTTTAGTTGGTTGTCACGCTTGTAAAGGGCACAAATACATTGGTTAAAAGAGGATGGGCCTGTAGAACCCCCTAATTTCATTAGTTCATCTCTTCAGGTACCTCTCTGCCTGTAGCAGAGGTGAGGTGGTAACTTTGGGAGGTTAAAAGGTTGTGCCATGAAGAGGTGCCCAAGCTGTGGGCATGACACAGCTGTGTTACTGGCATGGTTTCTCTCCCATCTTCTGGCTCTAGGACACATGACAGGAGACCTTCCCTGTCATGGATGGGCCATTGCATGGGCTCAGTGAACGTTAACATTGAGGCTTTGCACGTGCTTGTGCAGCCCTGAGCCTTGTCCTGTCTCGTTCATTCCTATCCTACTCCAAATGGTATGTAAGTGGGTGAAGGATAACAGTTTTCTGAAAAGCTCTATTCTCTGAGTTCTTAACTCAGCATGAACTTAAGACTGTGAGAGAAAGCCACAAAGCTTGAAAAATAACTTGGTGGATAGTTTTCTGTTGCCCATTTCCAAGTTATTCCAAACTTGTCTATTTTTGTAGATGTTTTATGTTACAGGGCAGGAATTCAAGTATCATCCTGCTCTGGTTTCCAGAGATACAGGAGCCTGTGTCATTGTAGCAGCAAAATCTGGATGTGTCCCTCTTTCCTCTTTGTAAGTGGGGGGGGAAACCCATAACAATCCCCACTTGAGGCTGCAAAGGTTTTGTAGCTGAGAGCTGGACCTGCAGCGACTCCTGAGGCTGAAGGCTTGATGTGGCTTGCTCCTGAAGTAGCTGGCTAGCTAAGCCATCAGCATGACAGTCTTGCCTTGTTAGTGCCCACAAGGCACTCTGTTGTGCTCAGTGTGCCAGTGCTGAAGCTGCAGTGGTGCTATAATGTCATTACAGTTTTGATTTTAAAAAATCAAAGCTGGCTGGAATATGTTCTCTGTGTGTCATTGGGCAGTCATGTTCTGTGCTGGTTCTTCTGCTTTCAGTTGTTTTCCCTGGTACAGGCAGACTGAAGGCAAGAGGTGTAATGGTGCCCTTCAGAACTCTTGGGGTATTGCCAAAGGAAATCCACTCGTGCCCATTGAACTCAAAGTGGCTGTTTTCTCATGTTTCCAGTCCTTTAGGGAGAGGCAAAGAGCAGGGGATGGAAAAGGGAGTCCTTTTCCTCTACCACACCAAAGCAGCACCAGTGTCCAGCAGACCATGTCCAAATGCCTCTTCCTGAGCAGGGTTAGGAGCTTGTGGCCAAGTGTTGGGTCTCTTTGCAGCTCTGAAGACAATGATCTGGCCAGCAGGAATGCAAGTGGAGCCCAGAGTTTGCCTTCTGTGGATGCTATGGTTGAAAGGAACTGACTCTTGATGTGGAGATAAGGCTGTGTTTTTTTTGCTTCCTTTGCTGCTTCATATTTGGAGTTTAAAATTTACCCTGGTACAGGCAGGTTACTCTTGGTGTGGAACAACAACTTAAGGGAATGGGTCAAGTTCTTCTGGGGAAGGGTAAGAGAAAAGAGGAGGGGATAGGAGGCATTGCCTCAACTTCATCTCTTCATAATTGTGGCATCAGATATATTCAACAGGAAATTAAGTTCTTGTAAAGGGGTGGGGGAGAAGAATCAAAGCAACCCAGCAGAACAGTTCATTCAGCTGCGGTTACATTTTTCATTAGATCCTCTGAAATGGGTCACTGGGTGGTCAAAACCATATTATTATTGTGCATGCAGTGTGACTTTCACTTCCCTGGGTGCTCACAGGGCAGGTAAACATGGGGAAAGAGCAAAGGGGGAATTAACTGGTTTCTCGCCATCCTTCAGGGAACTGTGGTGCTGCACGGGATGAGCTGAGATCTGAGTTCTGCTGCTGATCATGGGTGGGTGGCAGCATTGGCCTTAAAGCTAAAGCTGTCTTTAAAGCTCCCTTTTCACACCGGTTGTAGGTGGGTTTAGGTGATCCATTAATGTTGTCTTACAAATTTGGGCAGATTGAGAGGTTTTGATGAGTCCCAATTCTTCTCCAAAGCACCTGCTGAAGACTGCAGATCTTGTGAAGGAGCAAAGGACAATGTTGTCAGGCATCCCTTATCAGGGTTATGAGGTAACTCGGCAGAAAGGCTTCCGAAATGAGGAAGAAATTCCTCCTGTGGACACACTGGTTTGGAGTTATCGTATGGTCTGTCTTAAAATGTTCCTCTTCAGCTTGGCAGGCGCAGGATTCCCGCAAACCGGCGCTTCTGGGCCAGGCATGGACCCGTGGTCTGACCCAATCCAGCTAAATCCTTTGCAGTAGATGCCCAGGAAGCCAGCTGAAGGAAGATACGGAGTGATAAGGAGGAATAGAGCTCTCTTCTTGAGGCCAGTGAGGAACAATTTCTTCCTTTTATCGCCTTTTCTTCTTCTATTTTAATTTTAAATGCTTCTATTTGTTTTGGGCTGGAGTCTCCAGATACCGGGTGCTGCTGAAGGAGTCTTTCAACTGCTGTCCAGCTGGCTTGGGCTCAGGCTCAGAGGAAGCTTTAGAAGAGCAAACTGTCCCCTTTGAAGGGCAGGACACGTTGTCTGCCTGCCCCGCCACTGCCGGCCTCCATGTGGGAGCTGGGGAATACGCTGTGTGCCTGGGGACAGCTGAGCCTGCTGGGACAGCGCGGCACGGGACCGGCTGAAGGGCTTTGAGGGTGTTAGAACCCTCAGGAAAGCTGCTCCTGGAACAGGATGTGAGCTGTTTGTAATGGATTTTGTGGGATAAGCATTACTTTGGCAACCTGAAATCCTGAGACCTGAGGCCAGGATGGTGTCCTGAATTCTGGGCTTTGCCAGTTTACTGTTGGCTCTGCCAAAGTGCAGGTGAACTCTTTGATACAAGGTGCACTTTGGTGGTCCTCCAAACTAGGCCAGTTCAGGGAACAGTATTAACTTTGATACCTGTAAAGTGTGGGGCTGAGATTGCCTTTGCTGAATTTGGAAGTGGAATGCACCAGGAAGCTTTTGCAATTCTGGGTACTCTGTTCCCAAAATAGCTGTGATATTTGGGGTGTGCTCAGACTAAACCTCTGGGTCATGGGGCACGTGTATGATAGTGCTACACTTGCCTCAGAAGCTCAGTGTGTCTTAAAATACTGGATGTTTTTTTTTCCTCTTTTCCTTTTGCAGTAGAAGACAGTCAAGACTAAAAATCTATTGGTGCAAAAGCATATTTAATGTCTGACCCATAGGCTGGGTGAAGTCAGCAACCTTTGTGTTCATTTTAGACTTGATTTTTTAATGCCCTTTCTTCAGTCTATGCCTGAATTCAGTAGAATAATAGTAAAAAGTGGTCCCAGTTTAACAGAGCTACTTAAGCTAAAGATGCTTAGAAGGGTTTTGTGGGAATTCCTCATGCTTCAGGGTCCATTTTGCAGACTGCAAATCCTGCTTGTCCAGGTTCAGTCACTGGAAGAACAGCACAGGTCCAATACAAATGGCTTTGCCTTTCTTGCCACTTCCTCCCTCCTGAATATTAATATAATGGATTGTGGGACATTGAACCAAGAATGGGAAAAGCTGCCCCCTTAACTATAAAAGTCCTTGTTGCAGGTGACCTCATGAAACCTCCATTTGTGGTTTTATTTTGTGCTGCTGGGGCTCATGTCTGCAGAGGTGGACCATGAGCAGTAGAGGCTCTCTGGGAAAGGTGCTCCAGCAGAGCTTAAATCACTTTTGTACCGGAATAACTAATGCCTTTCTAAAGTGAATCTGTAATTCTGGAATAGACTCACTTTTATCCCCAGTAAGGTGTCTCCAGAGAGCTATTACATTTTCTTATATAAACAAACTTTTCAGCTATTCTGCCACTTGATCTCCTGTTTCTTCTTCTGTTGTTTCCTCGCAGAGCCATCTCCCCCCAGCATTTTCAAATGTCATCTGAAAGCCCTTCCTTTCCCCTTGGTTATTGTGCAGGTTCATTTTACAAAGCTGATTGCCCACTGTTCAAGGAGTACAGTTTGTAAAGACACTTGATACAAAAGCTCAAATGGTAAGGGTTTAAATCCTATTGCCTTTTTTTTTTTTTGCCTTTCATGACTAAGATTCTGGTAGAGTTACAAGAGCTCAAGGGAATAGGTTAAACAAGCCAATAAATAAAATGTTATAGCATGAGGTGCCTACAGCATTCTTTTCAGTGTGTTCTTCCCTTGTGGAAAATGTTGCTGGAGCTACTGCTAACAGTTATTTAGGGTAAAACAAGAGTAAGCAGCGTAGCTTTTTTTTCTGCAAGGAATATGAAGTTGATCAGTGCTTCACCACTGCACAACCCCAGAGGCTGTGAGCAATAGCTGTTCTGGCTGTGCCTTTCCAATTCCACATGGCCAGGGTGGTTTCCAAAATGCACCAACACTTCTCTGAGGCTCAGAGGAGAGGATGTAATTGTCTTTCTGGCCCCAGATGCCTCATGTTTCTTCATATCTAGCTGATTGGACATAATAGCTTTTAACTTTAAGACTTAGTGAAGGGACAAATATACTGCGGGTCATGAAAGCATGTCTCCAAGGCATGTAATTTAATTGCAATTAAATTACAGCCCTCAGAAGTTCATTTACAAGTGAGAAAGAAGAGAGACTTGTATGTCATGGAGGTTTTGTGGTTTAGATATCTCATTAAAAAGCACTTGACCTATGTAGGACTTTAATCAGTCTTCTGTGTGCTAGAGGATGAACTGGTGACTGGTTCAGGCTGAGCTCCATCAAATGCTGGGGGGGCTGATGAGATGCTCAGGCTGCGTTTTCACTCTCCAGGAGAGCATTAGTAGCCATTAGATGGACCTCTTGCCCACTTCCTTTCCTCTTACATTCTACAGCTTTGGGCTTTCAGTCTAAAGCATCTGGGGTTTTGTCTTGTGTCATCCTACCCAGTAAAGGTTAGAAACAGATCTCTTCTGAGCTCCTTATTCCAGCGTGTAAAACAGCCAGTGTGTGCAACATGGGTTGGATTTAGCAACGCATCATTCCTGCTTTTAAGTGTGCTGGTTTGTGACCCGTTTATGAGAAAGGCACAGCACTTATGGAGATACTCATTTTATGACTAGAGGAGTCTTAGCCTGACATGCAAGCGGAGATGGAAGCCTCAGCCTTTGAGCTTCCAGCAGACCTGAGCCAGATCAAGGGTGAATGAACATAACCACATGGGTGCATTTGAGCTAATGCAGGTTTTGTTAAGAGGCATGGGTAATTCAGTAAGACTTTTTCTGCCCCTGAGTAAGCAAATATGGAAAGATCAGGAGCTGTGCAAGCAGGGAATAGGAACTTGTGTGCCCTGGGTTTCATCAGTATGCTTTCTTCACTTGGGAAGTTCTCCAAGACTTCACTGTATGGGCAGGAATGGATCTGTCAGGTTGTGTTTAACTGTGTGACCTTGGCCAGGTCTTTCCATCAGCCTATATCCTGCTCTGGTTGCCTGTCTGTAACACAAGCTTGTACTGAGGGACTGTAGGACTTAATTGTTATCAGCTTTACAGATAGGAAGGTTGGAAATGCATGCAGGAATTAATGTGCCTGCATCCTGTATACAATTTTGTGTTTTTAAAAAAACAAGTTATCTATGGTTTTAGATGAATCCCATTAGCAAATATCATCTTGATGGATATGCTGAACCGGAGCTGGCTGAAGTTTGCCAGGGGCTTTGCAAAGAACCCTTTTTTGCAACCTGGCTTTATTTTTGTAGCTCTCCAAAATATCCCAATGACAACAACAACAAGAAAACTTAGGATATGTTATTCCTGTATCTGGCCTTGGCGATAAACATCAGGAATTTCTTTGTTACTGTGGATCGCAGCCTCCCATCCCTTTTCCTCCAAACTCCCCTCCCTCTTTGCCCAGAAAGAAAAGATTATCTCTTGAAACGTAAACCTGAAGTTGAAGGATCTCAGGGGGTCATCCTTCCTGTCGAGGAAGCTGCTTCTTGGCACTTCCTACTCACACAGAAGAGAGGGAGCGGATCAGTTTCAAAGAATGCTGTGAGCAGTTGATATGACATATTAATGAAAACAAAGATTAATACCATGTGACACTGTTGCCTTGCAGTACAACTGGGAACTAATGAGGCTAATGAGAACCATATTTTTGTTTGAGAGATTAAAATTTAATCATGGCTGATGTCAGAAAGGAATCATTTAGTGTTTCCCCTCTCCGCCCTAGGCTGGCGTTGGGTTTGGATGCAGCCCTTGAGAGGGGCCAGCCCTTTGCCATCCACTCGCCTGGTGTTCAGCATGGCCAGGCAGGAGGAGGGTGATGCTGTGGCTGGTTCCTTCATCCCCAAGACCTGTGTGCTCTGCAGAGGTTTCTTGTCTTGTTCAAGGCAATTAAGTGCAGGTGGCAATGGCTTGTATGCTGTTAAGTTAGGCTGGGTTTTGGTTTCTTGTCTTGATTGAGGCAGTTAAATGCAGGTGGCAGTGGGTTGTATGCTGTTAATTTAGGCTGGCCTTTTTGAAGGGGCAAAGAACACAGTTGCCATAGGATGTCCAAGGAGGCTCGAGTGTGCTCCTGCCCACTTGTACTCCAAAAGCTGTGCATTATTCTGTGGGATGGAATGGACCGAAAGGCAGGTGGAGATGGACCTGATGAAGAAGCCAGGTCCAGCTATGTTATAAATGTGAGATAATCTGCAAGAGCTGTTGGTAGAAGAGCTGCTGAAAGCTTTTAAGGGCTGTTAAGGGATGCTTTGGTGGGGTTTTGGGCTGCTCCAGGGCTGGTGGTTTCTTGCTTCTGTGAATACATTCCTGGAGAAGAACTGACCCATGGCAAGTCTTAACTTGCCATTGCAACACGATATGAAAAACAAGAGGCTTTGGTAGAATGGTGGGTAGGGGCTTCCTGAGCAGCTGCAGCACTGCTGCTGGGGCTGTTGTGTTTGTAGCAAGTAGTGCCACTAGGGTGAATGCCATCTGACTAATGTGAATACTTGGAGGAATTTATATAGGTTTAAAAAGAGGGAAACTAGAGAGGAATTTGAGTATTTTACCTTGATTGTTTGCACAGTGTTTTGACTTGTGATTACCGTAGTGGCTTCACTTAATAATAGCAGCTTTGGAGGATCTTTTTTCTATTTAAGTCTGCTTTAAGATAGCCAGAGGTCTGTAAAAGTTAATTCACCATATGTAGAAGAGATCATCTTTGTCTCTACAGCACAAAACAGCATTGTGCTGGGCATCCCCTAAGGCGTGTGCAGGTTATGTCCATACCATGGTGGGTGTTCGTGTGCTGCCTGATGCTCCCGTGAGCATCCCATTGCTGACCAGCACTTCTCCCCCCCCTCCCCCCCCCCCAGTGCCTGTTTAATCTGTTCAGTGTGTGCTGTGGAATTGCCCTGCAAGTCTTGGTTCACATCCTT